CTGAAAGGTCTAGGCCCGAAACGTCAGCCTTCCTGCTCCTCTGATGCTGCTTGGCCTGCTGTGTTCATCCAGTTCTACACCTTGTTATCTTTAGGGCGGGATTGTGTTCCTTCGAGCAGAGAACACTGACAGGAGCTCTGACCGAGGTGTACTAAATTCTGACGGGCATTGGCAAAGTCAATCAGAAGATCCTCTTCCCTTTAGTGCAGTGGTTATTAACCAATAAGGAGCAGGAGGTTTACAGTGGACTTTTCATCCAGAGGCTTCTGGTGATTTGGAATTCACTGCCTGAAAGGGTGGTTGAGGGGGAAGCCTAAAGACATTTAAGAACAATTCAGATGATCACTTGAAACATCACTTGAAGCATACAAGTCTGCTGGCTAACGGGTGAAAAATGGTGTTAGAACAGATGCAGGTTTAAGGACTGGCATGGACAGTTTCCATCTCCACAATGGAAAAACTCCATGACTTCCTTCACTCTAAATGACAAGAGTCTCCCACCCTCTAGCCCAGGGAGGGACGGGGGGTCTCCCACTGTCTGGCAAAACTGTAACAGATGGTGTTCACTGTAAGTAAGTGTGAGGTTATCCATTTAGCACCAATAAAGAATAGCTGAGAGTACCGTCTATATGGTACAAAGTTAAATACACCGGATGTCCAAAGAATTTGGAGGTAGGGGGTTGCAGGTTCAGGTGAACAGATCTTTAAAATGCCACAAACAGCTGCAGAAAATAATCAAAAATGCTAAGAGAATGCTGGCCTTTCTAAGGCACGGAGCGGAGCGTGAGGATGCAGAGTTTACGCTGCAGTTATATAAAATGGCAGTTAGCCACCTTTTGGACCGAGTGAGCACATGTAGGCACCACACCATGGGAAGGATTGCCCTGGGACGGAGTACACTGTATGTTTACCCAGGAACACAACCCCTGAATTGCAGGTATGAGGAGAGGTTGTACAAATTAGTCCTGTTTTCTCCAGAACGTAGAAGGTTAAGGGGTGACCTGATTGACGTCTTTGAGCTATGAACAACAGAAGACAAAAACAGGTAATAGAACAGGTTGTAGGTAATAGAACGAAGGCCATAATCTGAGAATTAGGATCAGGCCTTTCAGGAGAAACTTTGGGAAGCACAAAGGGTGGGAGAGGTTTGGAACTCTCTTCCACAAACCATACAGCATGTAGTTGTTCATTTTAAACGTGTTATATTCTTTTGTTAAGCAATAGTACAAAAGGACAAAGGCCATAGATCAGCCATGATTTTAGTGAATGGTGGAGCAGTCTCAAGGAGCTCAATGGCCTCCGTATTCCAGGATTCTCTCAGTCCTGATTTTCTGACTCAGGGTTGACAGGATTCTCTCGATCCTGATTTTCTGATTCAGGGTTGACAGGATTCTCTCAGTCTCACAGCAAAGGGAGTAAAAAGGCCTTTGTAACTGTGCTGTCTCTGTACCAGGGAGTGAGACCACCTCCCTAGTGTACACCAGACCCTCAGCCTGAATCACTCAGAGCTCTCACACTCACCAGCAAAGTTTGCCACAATATGATTGATGCACAAGTCAGAGAGAAGCGGGACTGTGGCCAGGGACCACTCAGGATCCTCTGCAATGATTCTCCTCATTCTCCGGGGGTCTGCAGCGGGATTGGGACCTGAGAACTTCGTGGCCCAAGGATTGATGTTCATAACTGAGTTCATGGTAACGTCTGCACACGGGGTTAGAGCAATCCAAGACACCTGGACAGGCACAGAAACAATGATCAAAACATGGTGACCTGTCTGACAGGGACCTGTGTCTCAGTCAGTGCCTCGCCCTCTCACACTCTCTCTCTCTGTCTGTCTAACCACAGTCCCTCTCTCTCTCTGACCACAGTCCCTGCGAGTCTCTCTCTCTCTCTCTCAGAACCCAGTCCTTCTGTCAGTCTCTCTCTCTGAGCCCAGTCCCTCTCTCTCTCTCTCTCTCTCTGACCCCAGTCCCTCTCGCTCTCTCTATCTCTCTCTCTGACCCCAGTCCCTCTGTCAGTCTCTTTCTCTAAATCTGACCCCAGTCCCTCTGTCAGTCTCTCTATCTGACTCCAGTACCTCTCTCTCTCTTTGACGCCAGTCCCGTCTCTCTCTCTCTCTCTCTCTCTTTGACGCCAGTCCCGTCTCTCTCTCTCTCTCTCTGACCCCAGTCCCATCTCACTCTGACCCCAGACCCATCTCACTCTGACCCCAGTCCAATCTCTCTCTGACCCCAGTCCCACCTCTCTCTCTCTCTCTGACCCCAGTCCCACCTCTCTCTCTCTCTCTTTCTGACCCCAGTCCCATCTCACTCTAACCCCAGTCAAATCTCTCTCTCTCTCTCTCCCTCTCTGACCCCGGTCCCATCTCACTCTGACCCCAGGCCCATCTCTCTCTGACCCCAGCCCGTCTGTCAGTCTCTCTCCCTCTCTGAACCCAGTCTCCGTCTCACTATCCCTCTCTCTCTCTCTGACCCCAGTCTCCCTCTCCCCTTCTCTCTGACCCTGGTCCCACTCTCTGTCTCTCTCTCTCTCTATCTTACCCCAGTATCCCCCCCACCTCTCTCTCTCTCTCTCTCTCTCTCTG